GCCAGGCTCCAGTGGGACAAAGCAGTGCTCGCCCTTCTTCCTCCCCCCCCTCATGACTGCTGCCCCCCCCCCCCCCGCTAAAGCAAGGGACCATGTCACGCACCCCGTAAGAGTCTGGCAGCACACCTTAAAGACTAACAAACTTTGCCAAGTCAGCCTGAGCATCCACTTGCAACCCCTAAGCCAACAACCTGGCAGCATCAATGTCCCCAGGGCACACACCACCTCCTTTGCCGGTGCTCAGCACTCCAAAGAGGTGCCCAAGCCTGGATCATGCAGTAAACCTGCCCCAGCCCTGCCAGAAATTCCTGCAGTGCACTGGACTTGGGGAAGGGACACACTGGTTGAGGCCCGTGGGCCCCACCTTGCCTGCCAGCCTCTTGGTTGGCCCACCTACCTTGTGGCACGCCGCCACCAGTTTGGGATGGAGCTGGCAGTGGAAAGTCCTCCGGGTGACCCAGAGAGTCAGCGGACCTGGGGGTTGGATGAAAGTTGTGGGGCCTTGGTAGGAAGGGGGGGCGGCCCCTGAAATGCCCCATTCCCTGTAGCAATAGGCCTGCTTCAAGACAAAATGGGGGGGGGGGGGGGGAAGGAATAGGGCACAGCTCTGGGGAAGAGCCAGTCCTGAAAGAAAAGGTTGAAGGAAGCCGGTGTGTGTGTGTGAGCTGGGGGTGCTGTTCCACTCCCTCAAGGAAAAGAGCACCCCCTCCCCGCTTACTCCGGACGGCAGGAGCCATTCCTGTGGCCTGAAACGGCGTGGGGGGGGGAGCTTCGGGTTGGACCTTGTCCGAGTTGGACGCGAAGGGCGACAGCGCCGGTTGGGGAAGGGGTCTCCCCCCTCCCTGGCTGGGTAGCCATCTGTCGGCAGCCGCTTCAACTGGGGGGGCGGGGGGGAGGTGGTGGTTTTCCGAGGCTTCCACTGATCATAGATCGGCTCTCTTGGTCCAGCTGCCTCCTCGGCGGGTAATCTGCTCATGCTAGAGGGAGTTGAGAAAGCAATGGAAGAAGAGGACAAGGGAAAAACTGCTTGTGGATACAGGGCAGAAAACTGTTGGGAAACAAGAGTTCGTGAATAACTATTTATTTATTTAATACCCCGCCCTCCCTACCGGAGCGGGCTCAGGGTGGCTTACAAAGAGATTAAACATATAGGTAACAGATTATATACAATCTTAAAATAATAAAACTCTACATTATCATAAAGTGCTAGTAAGTGATCAGGTACTTATAACAATGCTTACAGAAGGCGGAACCAATACTAGTAATCAGATGATCTATATCGGTGGTTGGCTCGCCTTGGTCTCTATATTTAGGCATGAGCACAGGCTGTTGGTGGTAAGCCAAGGACCAGGGCACTGTCACTTCTCAGTTATTTGATGTTATTTGGTGCAGCTCCTTAGTCGAAGGTCTGGTGGAAGAGCTCCGTTTTGCAGGCCCTGCGGAACTGTAAAAGGTCCCGAGGCCCCTGATCTCTTCTGGGAGCTCATTCCACCAGTACGGAGCCACCACTGAGAAGGCCCTGGCCCTGGTTGTGGCCAGCCTGGCATCTTTAGGACCTGGGAGGCCAATCGATTTTGTGACCCTGAGCACAGTGCTCTCTGGGGAATGTGTGGGGAAAGGTGTTCCCTCAGGTTTGTGGGCCCCTGACTTCAAAGGTAAGTACCAGCACCTTGAAGCAAATTCGGTATGCTATCGACAGCCAGTGCAGTCTGGATGTGCTTCTGCATAGGGAGGCCAATCAGAAGCCTGGCTGCAGCATTTTGTGCTAGCTGTAGCTTCTGGATTTGGGTCACGGGCAGCCCCATGTAGAAAGCATTACAGTAGTCCAATCTCAAGGTGACCATCACATGGATCACTGTCGCCAAGTTGTTGCATTTGAGGAAGGGAACCAACTGCCTAATCAGCTGGAGGTGGTAAAAGGCTGATTTGGTAGTGGCTGCTACCTGGGCATTGTTAGTGAGGCATCCAGGAACACTCCCAAGCTCCTAACCTCCAGTGCTGGCACCAATGGCGCCCTATTAAAGGTTGGGAGTAGGATCCCTACCCTTGGGCTGCCCCGGCTCAGGCACAGGACCTCCGTCTTCGTCAGATTCAATTTCAGTTGGCTCACTCTGAGTCAACCAGCCACGGCTTGCAACGCCTGGTCTAGATTTTCTGATGTAGAGTCAGACTGGCTGCCCAACAACAGACAGAGCTGGGTGTCATCCCCATACTGGTAACATCCCAGCCCATGCCTCCAGGCAATCTGGGCAAGGGGGCACATGTAGATGTTAGATAACATTGGGGACAGCACCTCCCCTTGGGGCGCTCCACAAATCAGTGGGTGCCTTTGGGATAGCTGCTCCCTTTTGTCCCCGACCCTGAAGAAAGGAAGCCGGCCGTTGCAAGGCAGGCCCCTGGACTCCAGTGTTGGTGAGGCAGTGGATCAGTAACTGATGGTCGACCGTGTTGAACGCTGCTGACAGGTCCAACAGCAACATCACTGCCAATCCGCCACGATCCAGATGCCTCTGGAGGTCATCCGTGAGGACGACCAGTGCCATCTCTGTCCCGTGGCCTGGGTGGAAATCAGACTGGAAAGGATCTAGAATGGAAGTGTCATCCAAAAAGCTCTGTAGCTGAATTGCCACTGCCCTCTCAATTATTTTGCCCAAATAGGGCAGATTGGAGACCGACCGGTAATTAACCAATTTGGTCAGATCCAGAGATGGCTTTTCCAGGAGGGGGCGAACCACAGCTTCCTTGAGTGCCCTAGGGAACTGTCCGTCTGAGAGGGACTTGTTGATAATCTCCCTTAGGGCATCTCGAAACCCATCACAGCCAGCTTTAATTAGCCATGATGGGCACGGGTCAAGGCAGCACGTGGTAGGGCGTACAGTTAAGAGCACTTTGTCAGCTTCCTCCAGGCTGAGCAGACTGAAATAATCCATAACCTGATTAGAAGATGTGCATGGAGCCTCAAGTTCACTTACTGTCTCAACTGTGGTGGGGAAGTCACGGCGGAGCGACAGGACTTTATCTGCAAAGTAGCTCACAAAGGCCTCATAGCTAATGTCCAATTCCCTAACATTTGGTCTGCCTTGTGGCGAAACAGTCATAGACCGAATTATTCTAAATAATTGGGCTGGGCATGAGCTCACAAACACAATTGTGGCTGCATAATACTCTCAGTGGCTTTGACTGCCATCTCATAGGATCTCATAAACGTCCTATAAGATGTTCTTGTGACTTTGTTGCAGGCGCACCGCTACTGTCTCTCTCTCTTACCCTTCGCTTCATCAGCCGCAACTCCTGGGTAAACCAAGGAGCCAGCCTAGCATGAGGGCGCAGAGGGCGTCGGGGAGTGATCTCATTGATGGCTGCAGAGAGTCAGCTGTGCCAATCCTCCACCAGCTCATCTAACAAGCCGCCAGGGGGCATCGGATCCCGCAGGGCCATTTGAAGCTCCATAGGGTCCATTTGGCTCCGTAGGCGAGCTGAAATCTGCTCGTCACCCAAACAGGGTTGGGGTGAAACATTCAGATGGGCCTTCAGAGCATGATGGTATGACCATGGCACTGCTGAGGCAGTGACCTGGTCCACTGTGACTCCTGCCACGAAGATCAGATCGAGCGTGTGTCTGGCCTGGTAATTGGGAGTTGTTACATATTGGGAGAGTCCCAGCGCCACCACGGATGACACTAGGTCCATCGCCTGAGTGGAGGCCACATCGTCCGCATGGACATTGAAATCATGCAGGATAATCAGTCTAGGGTGTTCCAGTGCCCAGCCCGACTCAGCCTCCACCAGGGATGGCAGGCTGCTGGCTGGTTCTTTTTTCATCAAAAAACTAAAGATAAAGTAAAGGCAACAACAAGTCTTACCTAACAGTAATTATGTTTTGTTGTCATAATTATACTTTATGCTTGGTTTTTAATATGTTTTTGCTGTTTTGCTGTTTTATTATTTGCAGTATGTGATTATTTTTAAAAGGGAATGTTTTTTGCCTTACATTTTGTACAATAATGAAAACATTGTCCTCTATTCATTAAAAAAATAGAAAGGTGTTCAATCCTTTTATCTGGGTCACATCTAACCATGGGGCTGGCTATGGGGATGATGGAGGCCAGATAATAATAATTTTTAATGAAGTCCTAGTTTTAAATTTAAAATGCTAGCTTATCAGTAGGCTGACATTAAATTGTTCAGTAATTTGTCAGTTTTTTTGTCAGTATTAGGTCAGGGTTTTTGGAATTTTGGTCAGTAAAATCAGTATTTTTGACCCTCTGACTAGTTTCCACCCCTACTGCTGGATGACCTTGGGCAAGCCATAGTTCTGTCAGAGCTGCTCTTGAAAAGAGCAGTTTCTGTCAGAGCTGTCTCAGCCCCACCTACCTCACAGGGTGTCTGTTGTGGGGAGGGGAAGGGAAAGGAGTTTGTAAGCCACTCTGAGACTCTGAGTGAAGGGCGGGGTATAAATCCAATCTCTTCTTCTTCTTCTTCTTCTTTAAGGTGCCATCAGACTTTTATTTTGCTACAACAGACTAATATGGCCACCCCTTTGCAGTCGTCCAGGTTACAGGCCAATCAGATGTCCTAATTAGTTAGCTGGAAAGGTTAGAGAGCCAGTTATGAGATTAATTTTTTTGTCCATCACATTCAGTGTTGCTCCTCAAAATTTGTGACCATTACCAAATGCTCCAATGAGGCTCCTGACAGCCATTTATGTACTCCAAGTATATACTGATATTTCGCTCAAACTAGTATGGCCACATCCTCCATTCTAGTGTGCTGCAGTTGGAGGGACCAAGGAGTTTTCAGGCCAAAGTGAGTTAAAATAGTTGGCATCTCCCTCTGCCTTTTATTTTCTTTTTTACTCTTGTTCTTTGTGTATTAACAGAAAGATTACCTAGGATTGGCATCTGCTTCAGTGACTCCTCAGTTTTGCAGAGCTTCTTCTGTTGGACTGTCCAGTACTGAAGTCATTTTAACATCATCATGTTTACCTTTTACTTTTTCAGAGCGGTTTGATCACCACTGCCCTTGGGTGGGTAACTGTGTGGGGAAGCGCAACTACCGATACTTCTATGCCTTCATCCTCTCTCTCTCCTTCCTGACAGCGTTCATCTTTGCCTGTGTTATCACCCATCTTACCCTACGTGAGTAGTGCTTTTCTGGAAAAGCTTTCTGGACCAAAAACCTCAGTAGAAATCTGGATAAGCACATTGCAAAAACCATGTTGTCTTGGAAAACCATGGATAATTTCAAGAGGAGACCTGGACAGCAGTGATAGGTGTTCTCCCTCTGAGGCGGAGGACATCTTGGTGAGTGGTTCCCACCCTCCATTCAGGGAGGCAGGAAGTCTTTTCCGCTTCCTGTCTCCTTGGTGGAGTCACCTGCCTCAGTTCTCTTCCTGCCTAGACAGGAAGAGCAGTACAGAATAGGCTGTAGCTTACCTATTCCTATCATTTCCTTTCTACTTTTTTCTAATCCTGGCTCTTTATCTTGTCTGTTAACTTTCGTTTCCCTCTAATATCTCTGTCTTTTCTCTTTATCTCTTATGCTCCCACGAAGAGCGTTCAAGTAAAGAATCTACAGTTGGGATAGCTACTTCAGCCATGGTGGCCCTTTTCTTTGCCTTCTTGACTTGTCCGTTTCTCAGACCTCATCCTTTAACTGCTCCACAAAACGGATCACAGTGAGGGCAGCGATGGCTTTCTCTCCAAAGGAGAGCTAGAAGCCCCTCTCACTGCCAATCCCGGTGTAACACTAGCAAGATCAGCACAGGCTGGCCAGGAACCTCTCTGACAGCTGTTCCTGAGAAGAAGAAGAGGAGACTGGAGAGTCAGAAGTGCACCAAAAAGTGGTGCCGTTCCTACCTGCCCAGAGAAGTCGTGACCACCATTTCTGAGCCTGCCGCTATGGGCAATCTTGCCAACAGGTCAGGAGTAAGCTGCGGAGTGGTTTTCTCCACTTCCACAAGCCATTCAGACGATGCAGGTCCCAGTGAAAGCCATGCTAGCCACCTTATAGAATGACAAGCAGCAGTGGTATCTGGTTTTGACAGTGGTGCAACAGGTCTACCTGTGAGCAGTGCACACAGATTGGGACCCTCTATGTTTTCTTCTGAATTTCTGACCTTACTTAGACAAACAATGTTTGGAGGAGGTCACCCTGGCAAAAGTTGGCTATGGAAGACACAGGGTCCACTCCAGTTCCTCCTCCTGTCCTTCCCCCCTTTCCAGACATGGGAATGCGGAAGGAGCACTTTCTTCCAAATGGTGACCTAGCTGGCCTACTAAGGCAGCTAGAAAGGAAACTTTCAGCAGAAAAAGAGAGATAACACTCAGCGGGTCCCTGATATATATATTTAGATAGTGAAGTGGAAGAAAGGGAAGAGGGGGAGTTCCTCTCGGACTAGGAAGAGGAAACGATAGAAATCCCAGAATAGTCCATAAGGTTCTTTAAATTTGAGGACTACCACTATCTTTTATCTAAGACCATGACAGCCTTAGGGCTACAGGAGAATCCCCCAGGAGAGGAACCAGGTCCTTCTGCAGCAAAACCCAAGGGCAGGTCCAAAAGGCACCAAGAATTCTTCCCTAGGTCTAGTGTAGCAGAGAAGGTATTCCCCTTCCCTAAATTATTTGAGAAGCAGTTAAAGGCAGAATGGACAAAACCTGTGGCCAACAGGCAGTTTCCAAGTGTCATCGAGAAACTATATGCTTTACCATCTTTCACTAACCAGTTTTTTCAGATCCCACTAGTGGATGCTCCTGTAGCAGCACTACAGTCATCTGGACTTCTCTCAGAAGATGGCAAAGGAACATTTCGAGATAGCATGGACAAAAGGGCCTACTTCGCCATAAGAAAAGCCTGTGAAGCCACTACAATGGCCATTAAAGCTTCCACCGCAGCCTCTGTAGTCTCAAGAGCAGCAAATGTCTAGACCAGAAAACTTCTCTGACTCATCCCGGCCAGCAGCTGGTGACTGGCAGAGGAAACCAACAGAGTTCTCAAAGCCACTTCACTCACAGCATGCGCAACTTTAGACTCTTTAATCTTCTCATCCAGGGATATGGCATCTGCGACAGCTGCCAGAAGAACCTTATGGCTCCAGGCCTAACAGGCCGAATCCATTCGAAGTCAATCATTATGGCCTACTCATATCAAGGCAACATTAAGACAAAATTCTTGTTGAAACCAAAGACAAGAAGGTGATACCCAGAACACTAACTTGCACTGACAAGAGACCTTTTGGGTATTATTCCTTTTGATCCCAATGTGTCCTTCCAAGATCCAACAAGGATAACAGAAGACCAAATTGGGGATATTCTAGGCAATCTTTCAAAAGAGGTTTATTCAGCAGTCGCTTCAACAAACAATTCACAGGTAGACCTGACAGACCGGCACACAACAACAAGCAAGCCAAAGCATGACTACAAAACTCTTGGGGGGGGGGCCGAGGTGTCTTCTACATTTTCAAGACATGTGGATCAACTCCTGGGCAGACAGCTGGCCCCTGGAGGTAGTCACCAGAGGATGCTCTATAGAGTTCATCAGAACCCCACTGGAATGTTTTCTTCCGTCTCCTTTACACACAGGGACCCCGAAAAACTTCAAAGAACTCAGACTGCTATTCAGCCTCTTCTCAACATTCAAGCCATAGAATTGTTCCCTCTTACAGAAAGGGGACAAGGAGTCTACTCCATATTTTTCACAGTGCCAAGAACAACAGAGATTAGAGGGCAATCGTAGACTTGAAATATCTTAACACATTCATCAAACTGTGGGATTTCAGAATGGAGATCCATCACAGAATCATTGCAGCCAGAAGAGCACCTTGCTTTGACAGATCTAATGGAAGTGTATCTCCACATTTCGATCTTTTCTTGCCACAGAAGGTTCCTTCAGTTCTGCGTCGGAGAGTCCCATGTACAATTCAGGGCTCTTCTGTTCAGCCTCTCTACAGCACCGAGAGTCTTCACAAAGATCTTGATCAACTCAGTTGTAAAGTTAAGGGAGCAAGGGATTCACATCCACCCCTACTGGATGACTCGTTGATCAGGTCAAGCTCCGCGACCAAGTCACGCCCCGCGACCAAACACCAAGACACAGAAATAACTATTCGATGTCTACAGGCTTACGGATTCCTGATCAATCTACAGAAAATCTCTCTACAACCCACACAGAGACTAGAAGAGCTGGGTGTCATATTGGACACAACACGCAATTGCCTTTTTCTAACCAAAACAATGGCAAAGAAAATGAAAGCTATCATCAAGAGGCGGTCTTCATCACTGATGACACTCACAAAGCTGATGGGCCTACTGATCTCAAGCATCAATGTCATCCAGTGGGGTCTACTACACATAAGACCCTTACAACAACTTCTGAGACCTCTCCAACTACAGATCATGAACAAAGAGGATATTTCCATTCAGGTCCCACTGTTAGTGAAAACCAGTCTGACCTGATGGGTCTTCTACAAGGGAAGAAATACTGTGTTACAGAGGTTAAACAAATCTTTACAGATGCCAGCCTGTTTGGATGGGGAGCAATGCTGGAAGACTGTCCAATACAGGGTCAATGGTTCAAAAGTGAGACGAGACTCCCCATCAGCCTCCTAGAGCTTCAGGCGATTTACCTAGCCTTACTCCACGTCAATCCACGACTGGTTTGTCAACACATTCTAATCCGAACAGACAATGTGTGTGCCAAAGCTTACCTCGCAAGCAAGGAGGATCAAGATCCTCAGCACTCCACAAGGAGGCACTCAAGATTCTGGGCAAAGAAGAACCTGGCATCGATCATGTCAGAACACATAAAGGGACTGATGAACATCCAGGTGGATTGGCTGAGCAGACAGACCATTCAGGAGGGGGAAGGTCTCTGAAAAAAGATCTGTTCCAGCTAATCACATTCCATTTTGGCCTTTCACTGGTGGATCTTTGCCTCACCAAACAACCATCAAGTGAACAGGTACTTCACCAGGTATTTCCATCCTAAGGCCAAAGCACATGATGCTTGACGTCCCAGTGGCCAAGCGGTCTTCTGTTTGCCTATCCATCTGTTCTATTTCTTCCCAAATTGATCCGGAAGATCAAGGAACAGAAGGCAGAAATTATCATAGTAGCACCATATTGGCCTCAGCATCCATGGTTCTAGGCCCTTCAGGAACTGGCGACCCAACCACCGCTAACACTTCCAGTAACACTGGACATGCTTCAACGAGGCCCAGGTTGCCCTGACCCGGATAGCCCAGGGAATCCCGATCTCATCAGATCTCAAAAGCTAAGTAGGGCTGACCCTGGCAAGTACATGGAAGGGCGACCTCTAAGGAATACCAAGGAGTTACTGAGGGAGTTCAATCCAGAACAGTCACCAAAGCCTTCCACTTTGGCCCCATTTCACTCCTGCGTACAAGACCAGCCCATGACATCCTGATCACTCTCCTTGATGTAAGGTACAGAAAGCAAATCTTGTCTGAAGCCAGAAAGAGAGGCTACCTATCCTACCAATGCTCCAAGATAGAAGTGTACCCTGATTTGCCGAGGGAAGCTATGCTGAAAAGGAAAGAAATGAAACAGATCACAAGCAGCTTGCTGGAAGCGGACATACGATACACTTGGATAACATCATTAGTTTTGCAAGTGACCCATTGAGGAAAACAACACAAGATTTCTACTCCAGAAGACGGCTTCAAGTTGCTAATATCGTTAAGTTTAGAAATCTCAATGGACTACTCCAGGCAAACTAATAAACGCCGCCATTCTTCTTCAGCGTCTCCACCACCAGAATCACAAGCAGCAGGAACCTCTTCATCGGAAGGATAAGTAGATGCACTTGAAGGGAGATAGGACTTTAACAGGGTTGCTCTAGTCTTATTAAAATGTTAACGAGTACTAGTTGAGGGCCACTTTGATTAGGCTTAACAACTCCAGTTCCAAACGACTCGCTCAGACGTCAGTGATTATTAGAATGTTATGTGTTGCTAAACTATAATTGTTCATCTATACAATATCTTAAGTTTTTCACTTAACAGGTTATAAAAGAGGAGATTGAGTCAAATTTAATCTACGAAGGAAAGAGCACCTACAGTTAATATTCCGAACAAATCTAAACACAGGTATAATCCAGAATGTGTCTGTCTAAGAAATAGCACCAGTTTTCTATATTGTTGTAAAGTGAGTTATAATACCAAATGAAACTGAAAATGAAAGGGAGAATCAGAAATGATGTTAGAAGTTAGAAGTTGAAAGTTACATTTTATTGTTTATTCTACAAACGTATCTTGATACTTAAATATTGAATTAAACGTGTGCTTCTTAATCTATGTTCAGTGGAAGCAATCCACTTCATTAGAGACTGGATTATCCATGTATAATGCTGTATGTCGATAGTGTTGTTTGTTTTTACACTTTAATAAAACTTTAAATAATAATTAAAAAAAAGAAAAGAATCCACTAATAAAATCTGCAATACATCTTGGAAGGCGTTCTTCAGGTAAAGCAGAAGAAAAGGTGTCGACTCTTTGAAACCAAAGATAAAATCCATTCTGTCCTTTTTGCAAGATGGTCACACCAGTGGATCAAAGCCTTCCACACTAGGACATCAGGTCCACAGCCCTGACAACAGTACTGCCACATTTCCAGGGATTCATCTTATCCAGACACCTGCACGTATGTCGCTTCCTCAAGGGCTCTTCCTTAAAAGATCCTCCACAACTACATGGATTTCCAACATGGAAATTACACACTGTACTATCAGCTCTTACTAGACACCCCTTCGAGCCTATTAAAGAAATTCTTCTTAAATGGCTGAGGATGAAAACCCTATTTCTTATAGCAGTCACATCAGCAAGGAGAGTATCTGAACTAGGCATGCTGGTGGTCAACCCTGAGCTGTGTATTTTCCATAAGGACAAAGTAGTCATGAAAACAGACCTTACTTTTAAACCGAAGGTGAATTCATCCACAGATCTCAGGAAATCTGTCTTCCGTTGTTTTGCCTGAATCCCACTTGTCCTAAGGAAAGGCTGTAGCATACACTCAAAACCTTCATTTGCAGAACAGAAGATATTAGGAAATCTGAGTCCTTGCTCATTTCAATCTCCCTGCCAAATAAAGGACCGAAGATGTCAAAATCGGCCATCAGCAGTACTCTAAATGTGTACATTATTGAAGCTTACAAAGCTGAAAAAATAGCCATACTGGGATTACTGCTCATTCAGTTTGAAGTGCTGCAACCAACGCAGCCTTTACCAGACACACTACTGTTGAAGAAGTCTACCAAGCAGCCACCTGGTTCACAGTATCCACCTTTGTAAGGCATTACAAGATGAACATCTACAACTCAGCTGATGCAGCATTTGGCAGAAGAATATTACAATATATTGATGCTACAAGCAGAAGATGATGACCCACCCAGAAAATGAGAACACTGCTTTGGGAGGCCCCACCAAGATGTTCTCTACCTCAGAGGGAGGACCACCTGATACTTACCATGAAGGGTCCTTCTCCTCTGAGGAAAGGAGGACATCTTACCCCTCCTGAAGTCATTGTCATTCATCTCTCTTCTGTCCAGCAGGACCACTGCCTGTCCTGTTGTTCCTTACCTTTTTCTTTTTTTCCCTCCTTGTTATGCTTTAATTGTGTTGATTCTTTCATAGTTTAGGAGGTTTATTAACTGCTTTCGGAGTTGCTAGAACTGAGGAGATGGGTGACTTCCACCAAAGATACGGGAAGTGGAAAAGACTTTGTTCCTGCCTTCCTGAATGGAGGGTGGGAATCACCCACCAAGATATCCTCCTTTCCTCAGAGGAGAATGACCCTTCACGGTAAGTATCAAGTGGTTCATTTAGGAGGCTGTAACAACAATTGAGGCAACCTTGGCTAGAGCTAGTGCAAATTTGTTGTTGATTCTGTCGTCTTGAGTTTCTGGATAGGAGGGAGGGATCCTGGATGCTTGTGTTGTCACTGTGCCATCACTGTTGTTTTGTCTTTATATTTTTGTCCAGGTAGAGAGAGGAACATGGTCTACAAAAGTTTATTTTGTTCTTTGCTTTGCAGGTTCCCAGGGAAGTGACTTTATCACTGCTTTGAAGCCAACACCAGCCAGATATCCTTTCAGAATCTTTTGTCATTTCTTTTGTTTCTCTGGTCCCCCACATTTTTATTTTTATTTTTTTGCTGGGAAAAAAAGTAATAGATTTGAAAGTGCCCCTGAGAGGTGCCCCATAGCAAGGAATAGCCATTTTTTTATAGCCACTTAGGCAGAGAAAGTCAATAACTGTCCTTGCAGGAACCACAGAAGACCCCTGCCTTGGGTCATGAATTTCCCCCCCACAGTTTCGTTTCCATGGGTAAAAACCTCAACCTGCCTAAGGCTTATGACTGATACAAAGAATTGCCCTGCATGGAAACCTGCACTAGGCCATCTTGCTGAGCATCCTCAGATTTATCTAGTCCCAAAAGCGAGTCTAACGGAAGATAGTCTTCACCCCTGCCATCCCGCATCTTTTAAATGGAGATCCCAGAGATTAAACCCTGGTTTATCATATGTGTAGAACATGGCTTATTCCAGTGAACTGAGCATATCAGTTTCTGCAGTACGGAAGACATGCGCCCCCTTACCCAGATTATACGGAGGTATGGGCTCAGTTGTCACCAATATGCGGACGACACCCAGCTCTATCTACTGATGGCCACCCGGACTCTGCCCCAGGAAATCTGGACAGGGCACTACAAGCCGTGGTTGGTTGGTTACAACAGAGCAGACTGAAATTGAATCCATCGAAGACAGAGGTCCTGTACCTGGGTCACGGGGGACTGGGATTGGGCTTCCAGCCATTGACGGGACCTTATTGGTGCCAGTGCCGAAGGTGAAGAGCCTGGGAGTATTCCTGGATGCCTCGCTAACTGTGGAGGCCCAGGTTGCTGCTACTGCCAGGTCTGCCTTCTTCCATCTGAGACAGATCAGGCAGTTAGCCCCATTTCTCACTCCCTGGAATCTGGCCACAGTGACCCATGCAATGGTCACTTCCAGATTAGATTACTGGAATTCTCTCTACGTGGGGCTGCCCTTGATTCTGCTCCAGAACGCAGGAGCATGGGTACTGATGTCGCTGCCTAGTGCTGCGTGAACTGCACTGGCTGCCTATTGAGTACAGGATCCATTTCAAGGTGTTGGTGCTTACCTTTAAAGCCCTATAAGGCCAGGGGCCCGCATATCTGCAAGACCGCTTCTCCCTCTATGAGCCCCTAAGGGCTTTACAATCTGCCAATCAGCATCTTCTCGTGTCCCTGGCCCCAGGGACGTCCGTCTCACCTCGACTAGGTCCAGGGCCTTTTCAGCCCAGGCCCCTGCCTGGTGGAATGAGCTCCCACACAAGATTAGGGCCCTGCGGGACCTTTTACAGTTCTGCAGGGCCTGCCAGATGGAGCTCTTCCACCAGGCTTTTAACTAGGGCAACGGACGTCCCTCCCTCTTTACTGAGCCTCCCCTCAGTGGGTCAGAACCGCATACCAGGGATGGCATCTGAGAGGTTTTAATGTCAATGACAACGGTACCAGATGAAGGTTATTGTGGTATTTTACTAGTGTTTTAATTGTGTTAATTGTGTATATTGTATTTTTATCCAATCTGATGTAACCCGCCCTGAGCCTGCCATGTGGGGAAGGTGGGATATAGGGGGAGAGCAAGAGAGAGAGAGCAAGGTTTGTTTCTGGGAATACAGGAAAAATGAGTTTCCCCCAATATCACATCTCGGTCCTTCCTTGACTCTCCTCTCACTGTGCTGGAACTGGTGATCTGCTTTTTTTCAGTCTGGTCTATTTTTGGCCTCTCAGGGTTTCACACTTACTTAGTTGCCTCCAACTTGACAACCAATGAAGATGTGAGTATGGATTTTTGCCTCTCCTTCCATAGGTCCAAGCAACCATTTTTAGTGCTTTAAATAAATACTTCATGCAAAAACTACACAGCTGTAGCATTTTGGTAATCGTATTTGATTTCTGGAGTAATGGACATTCTTAGGCTCCCATGTAGGTAACAAAGGAAAGACAAGTTTCCGTAGTGAAATGGATAGTTAGATCTTGGCAGTACCTTCATGAACAAATAAGTATACCTGTAACCAATGCTCCCTCTAAGCGGTGGAGTCTTGTGAGCAAAAATTCTACTCTGTGAGCTGCTGGCATTAAAGGTGTGGGTGAGCGATTTGGCTACTGCATACATTAATCTGCTCTGGAGCTGTCCTCCCTGAGCTAAGACAAAAGTGTGTGAGCCGGAGGCTAAAAAACTGCGAGCTAGCTCACACCAACTCAGCTTAGAGGGAACACTGCCTGTAACCAAAATATTCTTACCTCAAGTTGGTGACTCCCAACCAATAAGTTTTCAGCAGCATTCAGCAGGATGAAACCTGACCAAATAAATCTTAGCTGATTAATTATATAGCTTTTACTTAGTAAATCAGACTGAATGTGTGTATGAATAAATAGTTCAGAAAGAACAGAATCCTTATTTGTGTTTACATATTTACCAGGGTTATGCCATTTCATCTTGTAAGGGAGAGAAGAGGTGGCACCTGTAATTAACAGTTTTTGCACATTAAAAAATACTTCTCCTTTTCAAAAGATTGCTGCCAGGCTGTCTGGGAGCAGTTTTTCCAAGATTTTAAAACAATGTTTTAATTTTAAAGATTTTAAAACAGTTAACATCTGAATGTTACGATTCACCGTGACTTTATAAGAGTAAAACCTCCTTACATGCTTGTGAAGACTTAGTTTTATTTTTATATATTAATTTTAGTGACCTTTCTATTGAAAACACTCAAAACAGTTTAAAATCAAGGGACTAAAACCAATGAACAGTAAAACAATGTATAAAAAGTTTTAAAGAATGTTAAAATAACTACACTAGCTAGTGGATGAACCATTGTCAGTAACCACAGAAGAGTCTTAGAAAAAGGGATTTTTTCATCCGTTGGTACAAGTTGTATGTTGTGGTAACCTTGTGGTTCTTCTGGGCAGTTTCACAATAGAGACGGCTACCACATTCATTTAAGTCACCATATATAGCTAGTAATTCCTTCCAGGTTTTTTCCCCCCTAATATTGAATTATGATGCTTGTCCAAATGAGTGTGTACATCTGTCTCAACAGATAAAGCAGACCAAAATGGAAAAAAACAGCAAGGCACTCATCACTGATTCTTGACTTGGTTACTGGCTTACAATTACATTCAGTTAACGGTTCACAACTATCCATATCTAAAAGTCCTTGTAAGCCAGAGTTATATACATATGTTAGAGATTATTCCAAAAAGTTCATCTAAGCCAGCTCAGCAAAGGATTCTCATTGACTTTTCCCTCCCATGGCATTTTCTAACCAGTTTCTTTCTTGTAGCTCAAAGGGGCATGGTCAAATAAGGGAGGCGCTGAATTTTCCAATCCCTACAGCCATAAAAGCGTCATCACCAACTGCTGTGCAGTGCTCTGCGGCCCATTCTATCCCAGGTAAAGTCATCTGGATGCACTTTACAGCTGGATGTTTGAAGTATAATTTTGAATCATGTTTTTAACTCTCCTGTCAGGGAAAACTACGTCTGTCTTCTGATACAGGACAACTATTGCAGAAGCTGAAAAAATACATTGCTACCAAAATCTGCCTGATTCACAAGGAGAGTGGTGGTGAATCTTGAGGCTGAGATGGATGTTGCCTTTCTTCTGCAACAACCGCCTCCTGCTGTTGCTCTGTGCTTCTGCTGATGCAGAGCAAGCAAGAGGAGCTGCTCTTAGGTAGTAAGCCCACCATGCAGAATGAGGGAGAGCTGTGCACATTCTCCTAAAAGTTGGTGTTGTAGAAAATGTCCTTGTGGCTTAAGACCAGTGCTGGCTTCCTCTTCTCTGCTTGGGAGATGCTGGAAAACATATTGGTAGTTCGGTATCTGGAAAGACGGGGGCAATGGGAAATGAAAGGGAAGAGAGCTAAGCTGTGGGGTGGGGTGGGGTGGGGTGGGGAAGCATAACCAGAAATGAAATCTTGAAAAATTCAGAACTGACATGGGATTGATTGGTGCCTACTGCAAAAAAATCCATATCATTTTTTTACTGATTATTTTATTTTTTTCAAAACGAGTAGTAACAATCTATTGCCAATAACAAAGATACATTAACATAAAAATGTGTCTCATTAAAACTTGAAAACTAAGTCAAAATTATTGTAAAACTTAACATTTCAACAGAAAGATCTTCTATTATACATAAGGTTATTGTTCTACAGATTTAGAGAAGTAAGGATTACGTATACTGTCCTTTTCCCAACAAAATTTCATAGTAATGTTTCACAACGTTAACCATTTATGATATTGTGAACTTGCAGGTGTATATCACTAAATGGCATCTGTCCTTTTTAATAGTGAGCAAAATCTGCAAGGATAAAGAAAAACTGGGCTGCACCCAGCAATGTGCCAACAGAACAAAAAGAAAAAAATGCCAGGTTGACAGATAACTGATTTATCAGACAGAGTCCCTACGTGTTTTACTCTGCAGGCTTCATCGGGGGAATCAGAACATTTGCTTAGACTAGGTGAATGTTCTGATTCCCCCTGATGAGGCCTGCACAGTGAAACACATAGGGACTTTGTATGTACATTAAATCAGTTCTCTATCACTTGGCATTTCCCCCTTTTTGTTCTCTGAGCAAAATCTGCGGCCTGAAACTGCCACTTTACTCTGCATAGTGTAGCAGAGCTGGTCTTGGAAAGCTGTCTGGCTTTGATTGAGCCAGCAGTAGCCTGAAGTGGGGATGCGGTTGTAGACATTGACATGGAGAGTCCTGCAAGTCTGGCTAGCATATGGACCTTGTATATTTTCAGAGCTAAGTTTGAACTACCTGCTGCCTTAAATATAAACTTTTCATACTTCATGTAGTCACAAGAGGGCAGACTTGGACAAAACTAGGGCTAATTTCAAGGTTAGCACTTGGCATTGTATAAGATGACTTCTGGAAGGAATCCCTCCAATTACACATACAGAAAAGTTGCTGGTAGGGGTATCCATCTAATGTTTCTAGGGATGATCTTTAGGCAAGCTTCAGGATACTCGAGAAGGTTACTCAGAAATCTCTTTTAGCTGTAATTTTGTTACCATTGCAGGAGTGCCAAATGTGTGTCTGAATTGGACTTGAGCCCCAGTGTCAAAGAGCGCTTGCCTCTGAGGAGTATAAAGGCCAAGCTACGCTGTAATTCTGTGACTGAATCTGTAATGAAGAATATGCTGCCATTATCTGTTGGGAATTTGGACCATATACAGTTTAGAGTGTGGTTTAGAAGTTGCTGTAGTGAGAACTTCATACCTACTAACAAAAGTGACAACTGAACCATGTTTACCTAGGAACTAGACTATTGTCCCTGTAGTTAAAAGATGGAGAAATTTACCTACTGGTGTTGCCATTGCTGGCTTGCACTGTGACATGCAGTGAGTGGTGGAACCCACTTTATGTTAGAATTCTAGCCATGGAAATTGCCTTGAATACATGAAGCTGCCTTCTGCGAACTCAGACCCTTGTTCTTTCAAGGTCAGTCTTGTCTACTCTGACAGGTAGCAGCTCTCCAAGGTCTCAGGTCAAGGTCTTTCACTTCATTTGCTGCCTGATCTTTCGAAGTGGAGATGTTGGGGGTTGAATTTGGGGCTTCCTGCAAAGCAGAGGCTCTGCCACTGAGCCCGAGCCCCTTGTAAACATTCATACCAGTTTTATTCCATATTAATTATCTTAATGCATGACTGCAAAACAAAGAATGCCCCAGGTGTGTGTTTGTCAACATAATTATGTCAACATAATGCTCCTCATCTGTCACCAGGATGAAAAAGATAGTCTGGTGTTGCTTTAGCTGTTCCTTTGGCTTGTTAATTACCAGTCTAACCCGCCACCTTATTTTCTCTCCCACCTTGCTAGTTTAATAGACAGAAGAGGATTTATCGAGGCAGATGCTGGGACCCCATCCACTCCTAAGAGCGAAATCCCTTCCTTCGGAACAAAATCTGATGCCAGCATGGTATGATCCATCCCTTAGCAGTGATGCCACCTAGTCCTGTGCCTATGCCTACCTCCAGCTGGTGCCTCTCTTCCATTTACCATCTCCTGAGTTCCACGCAAGGCAGCTTTGTGGGGTGGAGCTTCCAGTTGCCCCTTCTCAAACCATATGCCACCATCTCTTGCACTGAGATGGAGAGATTAAAATTTGGGGTTTTTGAAAAGAAATCCAATGGGACTTACCTGGACATTGTGGACTGCTGCAGTTAAGCCTCTAAACAGACATTACTGATCACTTATAGGCAAAGGGGGTTGATGATGCTCAGAGAAGAGAGAGCCATGTGGTGGGTGAAGCCAGCTTCTTGAGAACAGTCCATTCTCTTGAAAGCCTGCTTCAGTAACCTGCTGGGCTATCTGCACAGATTGGTTGAGTGGAACACAGTCACTTGTATATGGAGCTGGTACGGAGGAGTAGAGGAGCAATCGTACCACCTCCTGAACCGCACTTCAGGTTATTTTTTTTATGATTTCTCATCCATGGAGGGTGGATGTTTTAAAGTTAATATGCCTTTCCCTGCAGTCCTGAGTGAGCGCTGCAAAGGTTACTTGGTGCTTGTTTGAGCCATAAAGAAGAGTGGGGCACTGTTTAAGGATGTGGCACTTCCTGCCCTAGCTGCAAATGTGGCTGGCAGTTCTCCTGCCTCTGCTAGTGGAGGGAAGAAAGAGTAGAGGATTTCTAAGAATGATCATGTGAAGAGAAGTGGGTCTGCTGCAGATCATGTTTATGCACTCTGAGAATGGATCCAGACTAGGCCTTGTTTGTTTCACCTGAATCTGGCCTCTGGCAAGAGAGGGAACACAGGCCAGTCAGAGTCCCTGGTTAATAGTTCAAAGAAAATTAAGCAATGCAATTTCCAATTCTTAAATTATGTGAATGGAGATCGGAGATCATTGTACATATGGATAGGAAAGAAACCATCTTTTGTAGGGGAGAACTGTTGACCCAAGGGTTTGTTTGAAGAGGAATCCAAGGAGACTCTGTCCTGATCCAGATAGGCTATCCAAAAAAATGAATTTATTCTCTCTAAGAAGAGAATATATTAAGAAGCCTGTAGCTTGGCTTCTTACTATATTGCCTGAAGAGGCAGGGATTGGGTTTCTTAGTGTTGGAACGCCTCTTGTCATGCCTCACATCCTCTTGTGTGAGCCCTTATGTATATTGGACGGTTGTTAAGAAATACTTGAACTATATCTATTAAAGCTGCTGGGTATTTTTTGCACATATTTTGTAAACTTTTCTAGAATTTGTAAAAATATTTTGCTGTAGATAAACATGTGGTCACAAATTTCTTAGGATAGATTTTTTTAAAAAACAACAACACAGCATTAGAATTTTGAGTATCAAGTTATTGCATGCACAAAGACCAGTAAGCCAGCATTCTCTGGCCTTTGGTATCCCATAAGAAAATATGAGATTCTTCTGGGGAAAGAGGGGGAAAGCTTTTCCTTTGCTGTGTCCCTGTTAGCTAAAAGAAACTATGAGGTTGTAGGCAAACAGAATAGGATCTTGATCTTACTGGGACAGGTCAAACAGACATGCGTATGCCATTCGCTGTCCAGAGAATCAGTAATGTCCGAGTTAGTGGGTCACATAAAAAAGAACAAAACCTTGATGATTTGAGGTCATATTGCAGGGAGCTGCTTTTCCTTCTTAGTCTTTGCCCCTGTTCTTCTGGCTATGTGATGCATTCGTCATCAGCTTTCAGTAGCCCCAACCTCCTTCAGGAGGATATTCTAGAAAAGTCATCAGTTACCATAAGTTTGGTCACACCATGCTGCCTTTGATCACACCATGCTGGTCTTCATTTCCCATAGGGCCAGCCGTGGGGTGATGAGCAGCTGGTTTCTCAACCCTGTTAAAAGGGGGCCATCACATTTCCCTGCTTCTGTTTTGGAAAGGGGAAGGTTTACTGTTTTTAGTCTTGTACACCTTAGTAAGCATCAACTAACCTGTGGGTTTCCCCCGCTCTTAAGGAACAGCGAGTGATGTTAACGGAAAGAGTTTGAAATCTGTGTTGACTCTAGGCCCTGAGCTAGATTTGTTCCTGCAGGAGATCAGAGGCTCACCACTACCATGTCATTTCCATGATCATTTTATTTGGTTTTAAAATTCGTGTTATTGTTATTGGCATTTCCTCCCCGCACTGTCTGTTTGCCTGGCAAATCAGGATTGTTCTGCTGAGGCTGCCAGTCAACCATCCCTTTTCTAGAATTTAGATCTGCACTTAAATGTGTATGAGCAAAAGATTTTAATGAAATTTTGATGGGGTCTCAAAACTGGCACAGCACAGAACACAGCAGCTTTTAGCAGCTGGACTTTGTACAGCCATAACTGTGATGCGGAATTGCTTGAGTTTCGTGTTTTTCCTGATTGGCAGAATTTGTCTTATTTGTAGAGCAGAACTGTAGGCTTGGGTAATTTTTAAAAAGTTCAATTTTACACCACCACCCCCCATGTGTATTCTCATTGCTGTACTTGAGGGAAACTGCCAGTCTTATGTTTCATTATAACTGTACAACCCCCCCCCCCGGACAGGCTTTGTGGGTGCCCTAGGTAGCTCTCTCTGACGCATGGGACAGTGTTGCAAAGGCAGCCTGAATGTGTGTGGGCCAGGTACTTGTATTCTGTGCCTTTTAAGCAAATTCCAAAACGATGGGTGGAGTCAGGACATCCCTCAGTGATAGGCTTAGGCTGCAGGAACACTCCCCCCCCCCAAAAAAAAGCTACAGAAGCAGGTATAGGAAATAAGTCACCACCGTCTTTCTGTGCTGGCAGCTGTGGCTCAATTCCGGCATCCCACTTTGTGCCCTTGAATCTATGACCAAGCTGGCAGTTTGTTCAAGGGGAGCAGGAAACCGCTTTAAGCTCATGTGCCTCTAGTAGCAAAGTGGCATTTTGGAAATCTTGCCTGCACAACAGAGAATATCTTCTCTACCTCCACTTCTGTCCTGCACATGTCCTGACCAGCTGCTGTTTCCAGAACATCCCTGTTAACCACCTCATTAGTGATGGTGCCTTTCTAAAGGTATCCTTGCCAGAAAAATAGTTTTCACCTGGTGACTGGCAAATGAAGTTTCAGTGGCCATTGGAACTACCTGCTGAAAAGACTGCAGCTTTACTTTCAGATGGATGCTCAGTTTGGTTTAGAGCAGGGGATATAATAGTCTTTTCCCTCTCCCCAGTACAGTTTTCTGGGAACAGAATCAGGAAGGGAGTGTATGTGTGTGCAGAGTTCTTGGTGTCTGAGTAACTAGTAGTTCTATTCAAGATCACCTTCTTATTTCCTAGGGGTTAGACTTGTACGCTTACGAGGCAAGAATATGGCTCTGGTTGAGAGTGCTCAGACCATTCTCCAGCACACTAACTTGTCATTCATAAAAAAACTTGGGTGGGTGGGGCAGCACAGAAGACTGTACCAGTGTTACATTTGTGAAAGGAAATACTCTTATGATGCTTAACCCAGCCCTTTGTTGTTTACTTTATAATAAAGATGTTTATTTTTTAAAGAGTGGATTGCTTTGGGTTTTATGTTTTACATTTCCCTATGCTAGTTTTAAGTGGTTGGTTATTTTTTGTGGGGGGGGGGGCCTGCAGTTAGACGATTGGAGGGGCACCTGTCTGTCTATTCAGACTGTTGCCTGGGTGCTTCTGTTTGGAACTTGCTCTAGGCTTGGGAGTATGAAGTGGGGGGTGGGCGTGCTCTCTGGTTTGACAAGTGGATTTATTTACAAGTCAGGAGTTTTAAAATGACCATAACTTTTAAAGCTGATGTCTCCCTGCTGTTACAAATGCATTTGCTGCTGGTGGAGGGCCCCCTTCCCTCCTCTGATTCTGCTCCCCTGCCCTGACACTGCCACAGAGCATAATCTCTGGTGTCTTCTCTAGGAGGATGCCTGCCAGGACTTTGCCATATCTTGCACAGCCTGACGGGATAAGCCCCTCCCCACAGGATGGGTTAGCACTGCTCTCTGAGGGTTAGCTGGTAAGAACATGCTCTTTTCTTCTCACCCCCATCCACTGAACCATCTCATTCTCACCACCACGTAGTTGCTTCCAGTCTGTGTGGCTGTTGTCCTTTGTTGTGTGCCTAACCAACCTGGTTTTTGACTGGCTCTTTGACAGGAAGCTTGCTTGCTGCCTTGAGGGCCCGCTGAGCTGGTGGTGGGTGGGTTTTCCCTCACCTGGGTCATAAGCAGAGAAGTCTGTGTCCTTACTTATGGCATTTCCCCCAGCATAATGGAATCACTGTTGCATTTCATCCTACTCCACACACACCGCCTTTTGATTCTTCCCACACACTGGACGGTGAGTGCTAGTCTAGCCAGAAGAGGTGGGAAGCAGCATTAGAGTTTTTGGCAGGTCTGTACACTTCTCTATGACTTTCTGGAGAACTGACCGTGGAAGCACCGGGCCAAAATGTGATCCTAGCTAGCGCAAAGGAAATAGCGCAGAAATCGCTTGGTAAATCATTTGGTAGCCTCTTAGCTGTGTAAACTGAGTTATAAACTACTAGGAGGAAAGCCCGTTGCGGGCTGAAATGCAACAAGCTTCTAGCAGAGGGCCTGGGTGAGCGTGGCATCATGGAGGAGCTGTGCTCCCCCCTCCCGGAGCCCCGGCTGAGTGCAAGGCAGTCCGCGGCCCGACCTACCAGGAGGCGGGGAGGAGCGCTGGGCCGGGTGTGCACCGGTCCCCGCTGGGAGCCGCAGGCAGTCGGCGGCGGAACAGAAGGCCACCCAGAGGCCGCACCATCGCCAGAGCCGGCCCACGGCCCCTGACAAGGGTAGAGTGAGGGAGGGGCGGAGTAGCGCGGGTCAGGGCGAAGCCGCAGAGGCCGGCATCAGGGCAGCAGGCACCGCGCCACGGAGACCAGAAGAGCTGCCAGGGCAGGCGAGAAGGCAGGGCGGTGGGCAAGCAAGCTCCTTCGGCCGCCAGAGCACGCACCGCCTCTGCCACCTCACAGCTTACTGAGGTGGAAAGGCTGGGCGGTGCTTCTGTCGGAGGGTGGGCGGGATGTTGACAACGCATAGGCACGCAGTCACCAATGGGTGGTGAGACCCTGCCAATGCATCTACCAATGGATGGCGAGACCTTGTGGTCGACAGGTCTCCTGGCCAAAGCCTATGGGAGCGTGTTCCAGGACTCACACGGAATGAGCTTTATATATAAGAGAGATTGGCAGGACAAAAGCTCTTGGGCTAGATGAAATGTCAGATGCATAGCTGCAATGTAACTGTTATTTGCGTGTTAAGATCTTGGTGGTCCTGGAAGGAGGTGGTGCACAGGACCATCATCTGTAAAAAATACAGCTCTGTCTGTGCATCTCAATCCACAGTGGTTGAAAAAACACTTAAGACATGCTAGCAGAAGATAGCACTTAGCATGTACATCGTGCTGTGGAATACTGCAAAGTTCTTCATGTTCTCCTGATGATCTTTCTAACATCTCTGTAAGAGAGGTCAGTATTATCTCTTTTTTGCAGTTTGAGGGGCAGGGAAGGGACTGGCAGAGGAGAGGCTTGCCTCAGGTTACCTAGTGATTCCGTGGCTCAGGTGAGATTCATAGCATTGACAACTTGGCCCTTAGACACTGCACCACACTGGCTCTCAAGGTGAGATCCCTATTGATGTGTCAGATGTCCACATCCAAGACCAGACCTTAATGCACTATCTTGGCTGTGCCGTAGCTG